GAAGGCTATGTGGGTGGTTTTTGGGGTGGGGGATGCTCGTGTTGGTGGTTTATGGGGTCGGGGCAGTTTGTGTGGGAGGTTTTTGGGGTCTGCGATGGGTCAGGTGGGGCGCTTAAGGGTCGGTCGGCCGTTTTTTGGTGGTTAAGGTGGTGGCCGGCCTTTTTCCGGCGAGATAAGGGGAGGGGTTAGGGTTTGTGGTTTGGTAGGTGGCTGGGAAAATTTTGGGGTTTTCTTTTTTAATTTTTGTTTTTTTTTTATTTTTATGAATTAAGATAAATGGTCCAATCATATCATGACATGTGTCATGATTAACCCTAATGACTAACGGAGTTAACTACCGTTAGTCATTAATGGCACTCGGTGAATTTTCAGAAAACTAGGTGGCATTTGGTGAATTCTGAAAAGTCCGATGACATTTGGAGAATTTTTAAATTACTCAGTGGCATTTGGTGAAATAGTCGTTAATTTTAATTACTATAAGATGAATATTAATCCTTTTACAAATGAACATAGAGTTCATCTAAAATGAACATTTACAATAGAATTAAAAAAATATACTACAGTACTTAATTATTTTTATTTGAGAAGCGCTACAAATATCCTCTTTCTTGATAACGAGAAAGAAAAAATAAAGTAGTTATGTTTATTATAACATTTAATTAGAAAGAGAGAGTATTTAATTTAGAGATTGAAAATTGTAGAGGGACAAAGATTCATGGGAAATATCAACGAGGTTTGACGTTGATTGAATTTCTTATGGAAATGCCTGGTAGCTAAAAAATCAAATTACTACACACTTTTAAGTCAAGCAGACATCATTCATCTTTGTCACTGCCGGCGATAGCGGCTTCAAAGTACCCCGACGTCGGAGGAGACCAAAACATGTATCCCAATGTCAATCAGGTTACTGAGGCAAAGCAGTAGGAATAGTTTTGGGAGAAATCATTGTCGAATCATTACTTGTGACTTTCTTAGCAATCTCATTGGTTTTATGAAATCTTGTCATTTTGGTGGGTGTAGTCTGTAGATAATGGAGCCTAAGGAGGTAGCTGGGGTATAAACGCACCGTTTAGAACGGGGTGTGGGTATAGGTGCCTAGTCTTGGGTTTAGGGATAAACTATGAGTATTTTGGCCATAACTTTCTCATTATTAATCGGAATTGGGCTTATAATATATCGTTGGAAAGCTCTTTTCGAACCCAATCCAACTACACTATTATTGGACTCTTATCATGGACCAAACTAAATTGGACTAGACATTTTCATAAATTAGAGTAGATTTCGAAAATAGAAAGAAGGTATTTTAATAAAAAAAAACAACCGCATCACAAAGACTTTTCACACTTTCACTTCAGCTCATTCGATAATCATTGATGTGAAAAGTATTTGTGTTTTCCATTATAAATATTTGTTTTCCACACACATTTATTTAATGTTAACATTAATGTTAATGTGTGTGGAAAACAAACATTTGTTATATTAATATAGAAAACAAACGTCAATGTGTTATGTTTGTTTAATGTTTGTTTTACACACATATCTGTTTAATGTTTGTTTTCCAAGCACATTAACATTAACGTTTGTAATTACAAATATTAGCGTTTGTTTATTTTTTGTTTTTAACACACATTAATATTACAAACATTAACCTTTGTAATTAATTTTTTTTTTCACACACATGAAAATTAGAAACATTAACATTTGTAATTAAACATTTGTGTTTCCATACATATTAACATTTGTTATGTTAATATTATAACAAATATTTGTTTTCCACAAACATATAATCAAAGGTAGACAGTACATAAAAATATGCAATTTATAAAACAAAATATGATTAAAAAATATATACCAACGATGGACTTGTTCTCCGGGCAAAATATGACCACTAGAAAGTTCAAAGTCGGTCAACTTTAACTGTCGGTTATGATCCATTAAAACGTTAGATGGTTTCAAATCGTGATAAAAGATGTATTGTTCATGGAGATAAGCAACTTCAAATATTATTTGGTAAATCCATGTCTGAATTCAAAAATAAATAAATTTGCTAGAAAAGCAGGATTAAAATTCATTTGTATATTTTCAATAATAAAATATGATTAGCTTAATTTGTCAGGAATCTACTTAAAATTACAATCTTAATAAATCAGATTTGACAGTTTCCAAATTCAAGCATAGATGCTCCCCTTTGACAAACACTATCACCAACCTTAAAAGAGGATATTTTTTTGGTTAAGAGAAATAGAGGATTTTATTTCTTAAAATGAAAAGGAAAAAAAAAACACACACACATACACAAAATTCTTAAGGAGTGATATAGTGGATTTTCCTAAATCATCCAAATAAAATTCTAATCCGAATTAAAGGGTGTTATGAAGGTGAGATTGGCGAATCTAGAATTTCATACAAATGGATTTAAATTAAATCAAAATTAAATAAATTTTATTATAAATATTTTTAAATTAACAAATTAGATGAAGCTACATATATATATATATTATATTAGACATTTTTTACCTATACAAATATACAATTAAGGGATCATAGGTTAAACAAATAATAATGGCTTTTATTTAGCAGACACATACGACACTTAACCTCAAATGATTAATACTTTCTCTATTAATTGGAACAAAAGAGCTGTGCACGAAACCCAGATAAAATTTTTTAAACAAAACTAGTGATAAATAAGAGCAGTAATTAAGGAGGAGAAAGAATGGATGATAAATATACAATTAAGGGATCCTAAGTTAAACAAAAAATAATAATGGCTTTTATTCAGACTTAACCTCAAATGATTTATACTTCCTCTGTTAATTGCAACAAAAGAGCCGTGTACAAAACCCAAATAAAACTTTTTAAACAAAATTAGTGAAAAATAAGAGCAGTAATTAAGGAGGAGAAAAAACGGATAATAAATCTAACTAAAAAGCCCAAAAGTCCAGCACCACCACACAAAAACGCACCACCACTTAATGAAACCCACGTCACCCATAACCACCACCCATGAACCCAGATCCAAGCCCACGCAACCCAAAGAACCAGCAAGGCCCACGCCATCTGACGAACTATCAAACCCACGCCACCCAACAAACCACCAAGACCCACGTCACCCAACGAACCAAACCAAACCCAAAACAATGAAAAACCCAAATGATGTAACCCCCATGATGAGTCTATTTTATATGTATTTTTATTCTCCATCCCACAGTCATATTTGTGCCTATTTGAGCTCTACGGAGCTATTTTTATTACTAATTTTCATTTTCTTGTGTTTTTGTAAAGTTGATATTATTTTGTAGGAATTTGCATAATAATGATAAATCCTAAGCTTAGTGAGCCACTACAAAGATATTGGTGTTTGGCCGAATTTTATAACTAAATATTTTAAGCCCGGGAATTTGGTTTGGTGATCGGATTAAGGGTTCGATTAAGTGAAGAGGTCTAAAGTTTCAATGTTAAATTATTATCCTGGACCAAACTAGTGTCGCGGACCAAGTATGAAAGAAAGAAGATTTAGGCCCAAAGCAAACGTAGCCAAGAAGGCCAAGCTCGCTGCTATGTTGATCGGGCCTGATCGAGCAGGCACGCTTATTTCTACTACACAAAATTTTACCTACACCCCATGGCAGGTAACACTGCCTGCACCCTCCCCCCCCACCCTCCGCGCGTGTTCTGCCGCCACCCCTTTTCATTTACTAATTTTCTGCAAATTTAGAAAAATGTTCATTTATGTATTGGTAAATGTTCATTTATGTATCATAAGATGTTCATTTTTATTATTTTTTGTTCAAATAAATATATGTTTTGAATTGAATTTTAAGAATTTTCTATAAATAAAAATGAGAGCAAATTTATTTATAAGGATTACTGCATTCAAATCATTTTTATTATAAGAAGTATTACATCGTTCAATGTTCATTTTTGTTTATCCATGTTCCAACATATGTTCATTTTTGTATCACCAAATGTTCATTTCAAGAATTATGAGTAAGTTTCAAAGTATGATGTATGCAAATATATACGTCTTAGATTTCTATTTTTTTTACATAAAACGTTGTTAACAAATAATTTCTAATATAAAATAAATTTAATATAATTACAATAATAAACGCATTTTTATACAGTTATACTATTGTATGTAACTGTTCCATAAACATGAATTTGAACCAAATGTACATACGTGTCTTGCAAAATGAACATTATTTATTATATTTAATATAATAAAGTGTGTAATATATATCCTCCTTGTTGCAACTCTGATCTAATCATATACTTGTGTGTTTTCCATGAAAAACATAATTTGAGCACAATATATGTTGCCTTCAATATCCTTACTTGATTATCCTGTACACTGAGAGATCGATCAAGTTTTTCAAAATAATAATAATAATTATAATGCTAAACAATCATTTATTTTTATAGTTGTGCTGTGATCAATTTATAATGCTAAGCTAAATGATCATTCATAATGCTTATAGATCAATTTTATTACTTTTAAATGAAAATATTTAATCGATAAATGTTCAGTTTTATTCATGCTAAATGAATATTCATAAAGCAAAATGATAATGATAAATGAACAATTTTAGAATGCTACACGTTCAATAATAATGTTAACTTATTCATTGTAATAACTATGATCAAATACGTAATGATAAATGATCATTTATAATGATAGATATTGAACATGTACGTCGATGTTTCATATTTGATATTTTGTATTATTATATTAATGAACATTTAAAAAAAAATTGTTCAAGGTGTTCCAATTATTGCAACAAATAATCAACTTCCTCCAAGTGATCCAAGAAAAGTCGAGTTTCTTCAAGTGCTCCAAGAAATATACAAGTTTCTTCGAGTTTGCCAAGATATGTTCAATGTCATCCAAGTTTCTTCGAGTTTGCCTACACATAATTCCGTGACACTCAAATAACTTACACTCACAAGCAGCCTCTTTGGTTTCAAAGTTGAAATGCACACTGTAAACTCTCTTCCTATTAATAGGAATCCTTCCTCTGGTCTTTGAGGTAGATCCATGCTATATCTTCCACAGAGTGCTCAACAACATTATTTAACAACTTTGTTTTGGAAACATCGCTAACATACAAAAGCCTTTCCAACTGCTCCTGGATTTCTTCAAATTTAGCATCTGTGTAGACCTTTTGAAAACCCTTTTCAAAAGGGAAAACCTTTTCAAAAGGGAAATTCGTAAGGACATGTTTGACCCTCATTGCAGAGTTTTCTCCGAATTCACCCAATTCTCCATAGCATCGCAATACCTTTCTGCAAACTCATACAAACGAGTGTCCCGTTTTACATATTTATCCATACATCGCAATACCTTTCTACAAACTCATACAAACGAGTGTCCCGCTTTACATATTTATCAACAAAGCTGTTTATGCTCTCCGAACGTTGTGTAGTCTTCATACCCGCCCAGAACAAATGCTTCATATAAGTCGGGATCCACATATGTCTTTCATCATACAGCACTAAACAAAACAAAACAAAACAAAACAAAAAAACCATAAATTTTTCTAGTACAAATTACTCGAGCAACTTCTAATTAAAAAAAGCTTTAATTTCAGGTCTGTAAATCAGGTAAGAAGTGACAAAATAGAATGCAACAAGACAATAACAGTTCATACATCTGACTATAACATTATACACATGAATACCCAAAAAAAAATCAAAGCAGAATTTAATTTTCATTATTACCTGTAAGCCAGTCATCATTTACAAGACCATATGACTCCATTGCTAGGGTCCAATTACCTCAAATTCTTCTTCGGTCAAACAGTCATATATAACATTAAGTAGAACGTCATGGAATTCATCGTACTTCGAAAACTTTCCCAATTTGTTGCCAAACTTATTAAGAATATGCATGCCACGAACACCACCGATGCTTCGCACCGGGCATTACAATACTTAACGCTTTTCTCATTGTCGCACACTGATCTGTCAAGAAACCAACAGGGACTTTTCCACCCATGCACTCTAGCCAATTGTTAAACAACCACACAAATGTGTCGGTGTCCTCGTGAGATACAAGGGTGCATCCTAATAATATGGTCTGACCATGATGATTGACACCAACAAAATTAGAAAAGGGAAGCTCATACTCATTAGTAATGTATGTCGAGTTAAAGCACACAACATCCCCAAACTCCTCATACGTTACCCTACTCCGGGCATCAACCCACATCACATCGGTCAACCTACCCTCATCATCTAGCCTATACTTGTGAAAGAAGTTCTAATTATCGGCACTCATCTTATCGAAATAGACAAGCATTGCATTTGCATCACCACCACTCATCTTAAACTTCTTCTCCTTAGCTAGAACATTCCTTAGGTCTCTTTCGGTGATGGCCATGTTCTCAACTCCGCCCCTTTCTTTTGCTCTCGCATTGCAGTCATTAAAGAGAGTTTCCTCTTAACCACACTAGTTATTTCATCCTGCCGAAACATTGAAATATATCTCGACTTCGAGGAGTAGGATTGTGATTCACATGCACTACAAGCCTTCCTAACTTCCCATGAACCATCCTGCTTATAAACTGCCCTCATTTGCACAAGACAACCACATTTCTTCGTCTTCCTACGATTTAGCTGTAAACTTAAACCACCACCATAAATCCTTTTCCCATTAACTTTTCGTCTTAGGTCAGGCTGCCTAGCACATTCACATCTCCATATGTAACTCCTTAACTTAAATTATCACTTTTACCATTCTCAATTTTGTAATTACCAGCTGCATGTAACACTTCAAAACCTCGTTGTTTCCCGTACTGCCTCCAGAATTTTTCTGCCTCCTCCCAACTACTGAAAACCATACCTACTTTAGGGTCATTCAGTTTATCCTCAATATGTCCTTCATTCTCAACCACACAGCGTAAAGGAGTACAAAAGCCCTCCTCCAAACCATGCTCCAAATGGTTTAAATCATCTACAACTGAAGCAATAGGGGTGGATAACAACTCCACCTGCCAAAAAAATACATTACATTCAACTTTAAATACTCTAATGAGGAAGTCCACAATTCAAACTGCCCACAAAAGAACTTTGACATGTACAACATACTACAATAAACAACATACACCAGACTACTATAAAAAACATAAAGCACACAACTAATTATACCTCCTCAATCTGTCCTTCTTCAGTCTCAACCACACATCGTAAAGGAGTACAAAAGCCCTCCTCTAAACCATGCTCCAAATGGTTGAAATTATCTACAACTGAAGCAATAGGGGTTGATAATAACTCCACCTGCCAAAACAACACATTACATTCAACTTGAAATGCTCTATTGAGGAATCCTACAATTCAAATTGCCCACAAAACAACTTTAACATGTACAACAGACTACAATAAACAACATACACTAGACTACTATAAAAAACATAGAGCACACAACTAATTATACCTCCACAAATTCTTCCTCCTAAGACACAACATCATTTTCTATAGAAGCTTGTTCCATTTCTGTATAAGAATCTTCCATTTCTACAAACAAAACATAACACAATCATGTCACTTCAATACAAGTTCGTGATTTAAGCTCCATATCAAACCAAGCAAATATACCAACTTCAATTCATATATTAATGTCAAAAGAAAACCAAGGAATTATACAAACTTGAATTCAAAAATTAAGCCCACCAAATTCAAGGAAATTTCTAATGGGCTTAACAAGTTCAACAAAAATTCAACATCTATAAAATTGGCTTAAGATTCAACAACTTCCTTCATATACTCCCTATATTGCAGTATGTTAATTTAATAAAAAAAAAAAAAATTGTGAAAATCAAAAATTAAAAATTAAGGGATTAAAGATGGCTCCAACTATATTAACACTAATGGTCCGAATATTATTGTAAGAAAGTGGAAATTACTTATATACTTTAACAAGACTACGAAGAAATTGAAAACAATACTACACAATCCCACTTATACGACATTCCACTTATACTACTCAAAAGGAGTAAGTATCACTACTAAAATTCGGTCAAATTGCGACCGATTTTTTACGACCATCACAAAAACGGTCGCAAAATATAAGATTTGCGACCGGTTATCAGATTTGCGACCGTCTTATCAGACGGTCGCAGATTTGCGACCGTTTTTAAAGCGGTCGCAGATTTGCGGCCGTTTTTTGGCTATAAAACGGTCGCAAAAGTAATTAATCAATTTTTTAAATAAAAGTTATATGAAAAATGATTCAAAATTAAATTAATTGCGACCGTTTCAGAAACGGTCGCAATTTGCAACTAATTGCGACTGGTAAAAGGGTCGCAAATGTGTTATTATTTTTATTAAAAAATAGATGTATATAAGTGTGCATCCTAACCCTAAAATGTTGAACAGCCGCTCCTGTCCTCTCTTTCTCTCTCTTCTCATGCTTCTCCTATTCTCCTCTCTTCTCTTTCCTTTCTCTCTCCTCTTCTCATGCCAGAACTTTCACCTCTCACGTTCCAAATTTTAACCTCTTCTCCTTCTATTTCCTCTTCTCCTTCTCTTTGCTCTATTGGCGAGTCAACTTCTTCCTCAGGGTCCGTTTCTCTTGCTTGGTTGGATTCGTAGGCGGTGGTATAACAAGTTAATGGTTTTAAGGTGGAATTCGACTATGAAAACTCTAGATCTAGAATTTTCATGGTCAAATTTGGCCTTATTAAACCAAATTCGAGGTGAATTTTTTAGCCAAATCAGGGTTTGAGATACGTTTTTTTGTTTATAAGTTATTTGTTTGAATTTAATTTGATTTTTTTTGTCGAATTCTGTTTGGGTTTATGTTCAAATTTTCTTGTTCAAGCATGACTTTTTATGTTTGATTTTTGTTCAATTTAGATTTGATTGTCGTTAGTTTTTTTTAATTTTTTGTTAATTTTGTTCTGGGTTTGATTTTTTGTTACATTTTTTTTCTGATCTTTTTGTTTTTTTTTTTTAATTTCGTTTTTCTTGTTTCTGTTTTTTTATTTTTGTAAAATTTTTTTCTGGTTTCTATTTTTTTTTTGTTATTTTTTTTCTAGATTTGATTTTTTGTTAATTTTTTTTTCTGGTTTATTTTTGTTTTCTATTAATGTTTTTTTAATTGGTTTAATATTCAGTTGATATATTGTTTGATTTTATGCGTTTTTGTTTTTGATCTTTGTTCAATGTGGGTTTTGTTTGATTTTTGTTGTTTTGTTTTGGATTTATGTTGTCAGACTTTGTGGGTTAGCTTAGTGTGGTGGTGGGGGGTTAAGGTTGTTAAGGGTGAGATGCCGGCGGTGGTAAAAGTTTCTGGTGGGTTGTATAGCAGTGGGATGGGCTGGGCTAGGTAGGGGAGTACATTCAGTTTTGTTTTTTTTTTTTTCAATAATTTTTGCGGCCGCCAAGACAGCCGCAATCTGATTTTTTTTGCGACCGTCCACAAAACAATCGCAATAAATAAAAATTGCGACCGTCTTTCAACCGGTCGTTGAAAATTAGGAAAACGGTCGCTAAAAAATATGCGACCGTCAACCGGTTGTAATTTTTAGTTTTTGCGACCATGAAAATTACGACCGGCTTGTTGCGACCGTTGACGGTCGCAAATACTGTTAGCGACCGTTTTTCCTATTTTTTGCGACCATTTGAGACGGTCGCAAAAACCTTCATTTTTATTAGTGTATAACCTAACCAATTCAGTCAATAACGTTTCAATTAACAAAAAAACCCTAAAAATCAAAAGAACAATTCACCTGATATAGAAGACTTCAGCATTTAAGGGAGAGCTACACCTCTTGACGGACAATCTCTTCTTGTTACAGTTGGCAGGTTGCGGAGCCAGATCTACTCGGGTTTTCTTCGATGCAGTTTAAGCGGTTTTCCGGCCTTCAGAAAACCTTTGGCGCGAGTTGGATGTTTTTTAGCGGGTTCTGGCTTTTACCCCCCTGCTATCACTTTTACTTATTTTAATTCTTTTTAACTTTAAAAAATTGAAAAAATAATTTTTTATTATGGTATGGGTTGAGTTTATCCCATACCTGGTAGTGGGTAATACTTACTCCTTTACATAGGTTTTCTTAGTTTAGCTTTAACATTAGATTAGTTTTTATTAGGTTGAGTTATGGCAGACCTTTAGTTCTGTTCTTATTTCTTTGTTTAGTTTAGTATTCGTGCTCTTTAATTTTTTTGACATAGCTTTCTTTATTGTTTTTATTTTATCTTTAATTATATATTATTAATTGTTTTCATATTAGTTTTATAATTATTGCTTTTATTCATGCTTTTTTTAATCGCTTTGATTAGTTTAGATTTAATTATATGTGAGTAGTTTAGTTTTAGGGTTCTTGGGGGATCCATATAAATATGAAGGGATGAATTATTTTGGTTGATTATTGATATGATCGACTTGAACCCGAGAATGACTTGGCTTGCAAAATGACCCGACTTAATTATAACCCGCAAATTTCTTACTTCAATTGAACCCAACTCGAACAGATCGACCTAAGAATAACTTGCAAATTATTGACTTCAACCGAACCCGACTCATACCCTAGAATGACCCTAACTCATTTTAACCCGTGAAAACCTAAATTAAACCCGACCTATTATTCACTCGACCCGAATGTAACCCAACCTATTATTGACTTGACCTAAACCTGACCCAAAACTGATAATATGTATGACTTGACGTGATCCGACTCAAGCATGACCCAACCCGAACCCGACCTGCATAAATTACGACCTTAATCCGGATTGACCCGACTCGAGTTGTTAAACCGCTAA